ATTTATTCAATACCCTAGTAAAATTTTTGATTATAAGTATCTAACAGTATAAAAAGTACAAAACAGAATTGTAGATTTCTAATATATTAATATAAAGTATATGACTACATATAGCACATCCTATAGGCAAAGGGGTGGAAGGGCAAAAAGAAGACTGTGGTTGAGATCTGGTAATGAATAAATAAATACAGAAGTAGATATGATCCTCATTATAGTATATTCTACCACAAATGCTGTAGCCAAGATGTGCAAAAAAAAATATTTCAAAATAACAGGAGAAAGATGATAATGGCTGGGACTCTTTTAATATACCTCAAATGCTGTGGTAAAGCCAACCCAACTCACTATGTAATCTGTGCATATGGTGGCTTGTAGTTTTTCAATAGCAGTACTTTTAGCCTTGACTGCACATTAGAATCACCTAGAAAGTTTTTGAAAATCTGACACCCCGGCCACACTCCTGACAAATTAAGTCAGAAATTTCCTCACAAATTAAATCAGAATTTCTGGGGGCAAGCCCAATCATCAGAATTTTCAAAGTTCTCTAGGTGATTTGAATGTAGGACCAAAGTTAAGAACTATTCCTTTAGGTAAAGCATTTGAAAAAATAAAATTTCAAGTTAGTGAAGGAGTTTGAGTAGGGATATATCTATCATGTTGCTCTATGGAGGTCACCTATTGGTGGAAAAACTCTGTTCAAGGTAAGAGATCATTTTTATTAAGAGAGAATGCTACATTTAAACAATCACTAGACAGGGGTGCCTGGGTGGCTCAGTTGGTTGAACATCCAACTTCAGCTCAGATCATGATCTTGTGGTTTGTGAGTTTGAGCTCTGCATCGGGCTCACTGCTCTCATGCAAAGCAGGCCTCAGATCCTCTGTCCCTCTCTCTCTGCTCCTCCCCCATTCACATACACTCTCTCTCAAAAACAAAAAAAATTAAAATTAAAATTAAAAAATAAAAATCACTAGATATTCAATTTCTAAGTCTTGATTTCGGAAAATTACTTTGCTTGGGTTTTATCTATAAAATAGGAATAATAACAACAATGCTTAGGCTCATGGTACTGTTGATCAAATATAAGAGGGTGCCAGAAAATGTTTTATAAATTATTAGATTATTATTACATGGCTGGGCAGTAGAACTATTCATCATTAAAAATACTAGCTATAATGTAGATTACAACTGTAATATGGATTACTACCTAAATGTTTTGCCGCTTTGTTTTAATAGGCATTTACTTTATGAAATCTAAGTCTCTGGCTCAATGTTTCTCAAAGTATGCTTCCTGAAGCAGTAGCACCAGCATCAATAGCATGTGGATACTTGTTAGAAGTGCAAATTCTTGATGTCTATTGCAGACCTACTGATTCAGAATTTGGAGGCAGAACCTAGCAATCTTGTTTGAACAGGATATCCAGGTGATTTTGATGTTCAAATCAGAGGACCACATATCCAGCTAAATATTAGTAAGAAGCAAGTATGTATGACTAAAATCAAAGGATGAATGCACAGTATTTGTTATTTTAATCTTTAAAAGCTGTACTGGAAAGACACAGTGGCAGAAATTATTGCTTTAAAAAAAGCCCCTAAATCTTTGTATTTAAAAATAATATAGTTCTCCCTACCTAGCCAAACTTTATCAATTAACACATTAATCATGAATATAATGGTAATCTATAAATTTGAGAATCAGATAAATCACAGAGTATACAACACTCTGGATAAGGAATAAAGGAACAAAACTCTAGGAGGAGTTAGCAGTGGCTCAGTAGATGATAGTTAAGTTTTAACTCAGTGGACTTGGGTTTCTCTAAGAGGAAGAGTCACAACTGTATCTCAAAAATCACATTTATCCTGAAGACAACACCCCATAGCATCTCAATGTTCTTATTCAGCTAAGGAAGTGTTTCATCATTTACTCAGAGAAAAGACCATTACTTAGACTGAATCATCAACAATGTTTCCTACAGCATTAGATTTGTCATTGGGTCTGCTAAGCAACAGAAAAACAGTCTCAAAACTTATCTTAAAAGATATCATAAGAGAAAGCTATCAACCTTGCTCCCAAATTCAAATTTTGTTATTTCTACTGATAAAACATATGCAGGGCTCACTGAGAGCCCTGTGAGATTGCAATAGAAAGTTCTTTGAGATCTTTTACGTTTTCTCTTTTTCCATTTTTTGAAAATTTTGGTGTCCTCAAGACACCTAGCACCACCCTAGAAAGATAAGAGTGAAATATCCCAATTAAGAACTGCTACTTCCTAAGAAAACAATTCTAAACTCTCATTTCCTATCCTGGAAAAAACTAGCGGAAATAAATTGTCAAAATAGTTAATTCCTTTTGCTCATCGACTCATCTATAAATATTTATTGAGTGCCTACTGTATTCCAGATAGTGTTCTAGGTACAAAATTAGTCTAGAGAGATGCACAGGTGTCAGTGAGGGAGGTATAGAGTCTATGTGTCCAGGTTTCAGTTTCTCAGTCAACCAAATCAGTAGTACCCAAACTCAAGCAAGCATCACAATCACCTGGAGAGCTTATAAAATACATAGACTGTGGAGGCCAATTCAGAATTTCTGTTCAGTAGGTCTGAGATGGGCCCCCCAAATTAGCACTTCTAATAAATTCTCAGGTGATATTGATGCTGCTGGTCCAGCGACCATACTTTGAGAACCACTTACCAAGCAAAACAAGCGGCAGCTCTTCACACTATCCCTGCCAAAAAGTACTGTACATGTCTCTTCCAAAGAAGGCAATGGCCTCATGACTGCTGTCATAATCACACACAAGTGAGCAGAATTCCAGTTCCCAGAACCACCTCAAACATCTACGATCAGTGGCTCCAAAACAAAACAAAGAAGTACAAAAAACAGAGAAAATTCTCTTCCAGGGGCTTTTCTCCTTCTTTGTTTTTCCTTTTGTTTTACTCCCTATCACAAGAAATCATTTTTGTATTATGATTTCTCATTTCAAGTGTTACGAAAAGAATAAAACTCTTTTAAATTTTTCAGACATCTTTAATACAATCAAAGTTTTTCTTCTAAATTCAGTTCTTATAGCCTAACCTCCACCCTTTTGTTGAACTGTCTCCTTTTTGAACAAAAGAATCCTAAGGTTAGAAAGAACACTGAGAATTCACTTAATCCCTCCTTGGCCTTAGACAAGACTGTGTCTAAATCATCCCCAAATATAGCAATTTTCGGAACAAAGACGAACAGGCACTAAGAATTTCTCATTCAACATTCTGTCACAGACTCGAAGATACTAATATACTTTTCTTCAGCCTTCTCTTCTCCAAGCTAATCAACCTCAACATTTAGACTACCCTCATTACACTTCCTAAACTTTGTTCTGACTTTACCTTAATAACTTTATCCTACCTTATACTTCAGGGTCTTCATTATGTATATATTGTTATCATGAAGACTTTTTTTTTTTGGTATATGAAAGGGATAAGTTAATTTATAAATTGAATAAAAATGAATTTATTGGAACAAAGAAAGATATCTGTATAAATGCCACCAAATATAATAAAATGGCATTCACTTGAACAATTAATTTCAAATATCCTTTATTTTATTAAAATAATAAAATGCTTTATAGTTTTTAGAACTTTACATTATAAATCACTAGCCATTTCACACATAAAATGGGTGGGAATTAGAAATCTTTTAAAATATGCCACAAATCATGTATAACCACGTTTCATGACACCTCACACAGGAGAAGAAATTATTATTATTATTAATTTGTGGGTTTTTGATGTTTTATATAGTGTTTACTACTTAAGTTGGAGTTATAGATAACAATGATTTAATTCTGTATGAGTCTAAAAATACTGAATATATTATATAATAATCATTTCTGTGAAAATAATTTCTCTGATTCAAGCTTTGAGAATTAGAGGAGTTTAGAAATTCAGCAAGTATGAGACAAGAAAGGGTCAAGTCCATGTTAAATCATATGTTTCTGGGCAGTTTAGAAAGGGAACATAGGTAATATATTTGAAATGGGGTAAAATGGAATGATTCACTTTCTTTCTATTTCTCCCATTCTAAATATCACTACTCAAAATCAATCTTTCTTTTTGGAATGGTGAGGTGCTCTAGCCCAGCCTACACCTGACGGATAGGGTTGTTTCCTTGTCTATTGGGATCAAGGTGTACGGTGGAGGCGATGCATTTAGTCTCCAGAGAGAAGGAAGATGCTGCTTGCACAGCACTTCTACTCACCAGTCCATGCAGCAGCAAGGGTGTTGGCTTTGAAGGAAGCCAACTGTCCTGCTCTCCCAGCCAGAGGTAAAGAATTGCATTGGTGGCCACTAGAGGGAGGAGGATTAGGAATAGAGTAAATTGTGGGGAAAAGGCACCCATGAAAAACGCACATGGGACAACCAACACATCACCAACCACCGCCTAGCAGCTACCTCTCTGAGGGACTATATGGGGTCAGCATACACCATTAACCCAGAGACCCAGACACCAGGAATTATCATAGTATCCCAGTATATAGCCCCTTAACTTTGATGGCTGGAGAAGGGAGTTTGAATAGGTTTATGGGAAACACACAAGCACACAAACACAGACACGCTACCACACAAACATACATTCTCATCCCCCATTACAAGAAGTTGCATCTGTGCCGTCTGATTCTTGCTCATTTTCTTATTTAAAACTCTTGATGTTGTTTACCAAGAATGTGTTCACCGAAAGCAAACAGCCCACCTTCAAGATAGTCTTGGGAGAAGCACCAGCAGAGACACTCATTGTGCCAAGATGTATTTTACCAACAAATCTGTACAAATTACATGAGGTTAAAAACAAATGGAATATAATATAATTAAAGCAAAGTTTCTTTTGCTAAATTACAGCTTGAAGCAAACCTGCAAGAAATGTTTCCAATTAGCTTCTTTAGCAAACACAAAGCATAGCTCAGAATATATTGTGCTTTCCGTTCTGCCCTCTGGGTGGGCTGCCTAGTGGGTGTCTTACCTCCAGCACAAGTAGCTGAGCATTCTGACCAAGGCTGATGATTCCACGTAAAGCCAACTTCATTGTCTCCACTGCCGGTCCGAGTGATGGGAACATTGAACTTATACCTAATTCCCAAATTCTGTTCCTGAAGTAGAACCTGCCATTGAAAACAACTGGTGAAGATAGTTAAAATACGATGAGGCTTCATTCAGATATTTATTATTTTTTTCGAAGAAGAAAAATGTCATAAAGTAAGTCTCATAGGAAATTTAAGATAACTTTTAAAACACATGCACTTATATTGAATTTTCTCCCCCCCCTTTTCATGGGTAATTTAGAGACATTTCCCTCATCTGCCTTGTTTGGTTATAAAAATATTGTTCAAATAGGCATGGAAAAAATAGTCATACGGAAAAAGCAATATGGCCTAACCTTACACAAATTTTATACCCTTGGAGAAACTGTTTTACCTTTATTAACCTGAATTTCACCTCTTGAAAAACAGACATAATAAAGCCTGATCCTGTGTATCTCACAGAACAAATAACAGACAGTAGAAATTAAGAGGCAAAGACACATTTACCATGACAATGAGATTTTCTGAGGTGGGACCTAGGGCTTCCAGGGATTCTGGTTCATCAGTTGGTCTCTTGTAGTGAAAAGCTGTCCCAGCAACATCAAACTTCCTAGGCCAGTCAATAGTCCAGGCGCCATTAATATAGTAATCATCTCCTTCAGATTTCAAAGCTAAAAAAAGAAAAATCACAGTCTACCTAAAAATGTGAAGTGTCATTTACCACAGAGTCATTAATTGACAGGATATGACAAAAGAAGCATTTATTAGGGAAATTAGTAAAGGAAAGATAATAAGAAATAGTACTAAACACAAAACTAACCTTTTGGGGGAAAAAAAGGAACTGATGAATTTATATCTCATTCTTTACATGCAAATAAATTCCACAATTCCACTCTTAGGTATAAAGCCAAAAGAAATGAAAACAGATACCAAAACAAATATTTGTACACACATGTGCATAGTACTACTATTTCCAATAGCCAAATGTGGAAACAACTCAAATGTCCACCAACTATGGTATATATAATACAGTCGAATATTATTCAGCCGTAAAAAGGAATGAAGTATTGACACACACTCCAATGAAAATGAATATCAAAAATATTCAGCTAAATGGAAGAGGCTAGACAGAAAAAGTCATATACTATATGCTTCCATTTTATGAAATATTCAGAACAGGTAAATCCATAGAGAAAAAAAGCAGACTGGTGGTTGCAGGGGCTGAGGAATGGAGAGTAACTGCTTCATGGACATACAGGGCTCCTTTTGAGGTGACAAAAATATTTTAGAATATACTAAATACCGTTAAATTGTTCACTTGAAAATAATTACATTCTGATATGTGAATTTCACTTCAATAAAAACAGTGAAAAAATGAGAGAAAAAATAAATGCTATATGGGTAAGTATTTAAATGTAAACACAGTTAAATAATAAAATGCTAGAAAGAAAATGTGTGAGAACTTAAAAAATAAAATTAGGGTATGAAAAGCTTTTCAAGCATGGCAAAAACCTCAAAAATTATAAAGAATAAGTTTAATAAATATGCATTTGATAATGATTACATAATTTGACAGTGACAAACATGACAGCTTAGTTTTTTGGTAGCATGCTAGCTTCTTCAAAAACTTTATAAGCCCAGATGAACAAAGAGCCCAAAAGGAACTAAAAGGGTCATGGTGCACAGAGTGTCTGACTCTCTGGACCTCTGCCATGTGTCCTTAATATTATAGACTATTTCCATTCCCCTAGCCCTATCTGCCTGGCAAATTACTTGTACTTTCTTGACTTCAGATATGTTGTGAAAATTCATTTAATTGTCAAAAATAAATTGAATTAAATCTTATGAGATAGGAACATACCAACCAATATTAAGAATTATTTAGTCTTAAATTTTTCTTTTACTTTAATATTTTTATTTATTTTTATTTTTGACTCAGTAGTTTTTGTCTCATTTAACACATCAACATGACTTTGGCTATATCAGGATATCTGAGACTGCATAATATGAAATAGTAAAAACAAAAATAACAACAATCTGCCTATGGCCGGCATCTTCAAATTCTCCTTCAATTTTAGCTCTCATTTCCTATTTCCTCAACTTCTTAATGAATGGATCCTTACTTGCTTTTGCTGGTAGTACTCTATAGTTCAGAAAAATATCAAGCATTTAAGAACTGAATAAGAATTTACTGAATAAGAGATGTGGAATTAGGGACAGAGCATTATTAAAGGGAAACATTTGATGTTAGAAATCTTATTTTTTTAACTTTTAAATTTTATTTAATTAAAAAATGTTTAATGTTTATTCATTTTTGAAAGACAGAGAGATAGAGCATAAGTGGGATAGAGTCAGAGAGAGAGGGAGACACAGAATCCCAAGTGGGCTCCAGGCTCTGAGCTCCCAGCACAGAGCCCAATGAGGGGCTTGAAGGCACGAACTGTGAGATCATTATCTGAGCCAAAGTCAGACACTCAACTGACTGAGCCACCCAGGTGCCCCAAAAATCTTATTTCTGAGTCTTGTCAACATGGAAAAGAATCCAAAATTATAATATAAAAATAAAGACTTTTTTAAATAAAGGGATGCCCAGATAATACTAGTGTTCTATCTAAAGAAGCATTCTAGATATGGTTCTATTTTTGAAAGATGTAAGTCAAAGGGGGATACTTCAGGGGAATAAGAACCCATCCAGATCTCACCAGGGATTTCTGAAGAGTCTAAATCTGTCTTAAAGGATCAAACATCAACTAAATAGAATTTCCACTTCTTTCCCTGTTGAAGTAACTGGTACTGGACTTGACCTCCAAACGTAAATAACTGGAAAACTCACAAAACATATGAATCAGTTATTCTTAAGATGTTGCCCAGGACTGACACAGCTAAGAAGTCAAACAAGGTGAATGATAGAGGCACTTTCTGTCAGTGTAGAATGCAAGAACCCAAGTGAACCATGGTTGTCTCACTGAGTTAGAAGAGAAAGATCAGAAATTAGGAAGGCCAAGATAGTTGGAATTTGCAGGACCAGAGATCTAGAGTAGAAAGAGGGAATCTGTTGCTGAAGACCAATCTACATATGCATAGGAGAAAATCCCATAAAGCCAGGCCAAAAAAAAAGTCCTAGGGAACTATAGGCAGAAAAATGTTCAGAGCAAGAATTCAGAGTTTCAGCCACTAACATTCAGGAGAGACCCAATAAGAATCATGCCTTGTCTAGTAGAGCTGAGCAAACTCAAGAATAAAGGATACTCTGCACTTGCCCAAACAAAGCTCAAAAACAAGCCTCAGAAAATTAGCTTATCTACAAGTTATTTAACACTATTTAAAGGAAGGAAACAAAATCCAGGCTCTCAAAAAAAATTTCATAATGTACAAAATCCAATAAAAAATTAATACAAATGGAAAGAAGCAGGAAAATAGGACCTAAACCAAAGAAAAAACCAAGTTAAAAAAATAGACCCAAAAATGACAGAAATTATGGAATTAGCAACAACTTTCAAACAGCTATTATAATATATTCAGGGATTTTAAAGGAAAACAAATATAGTAACAGGAAACTAGAAGATATATACAGATGGATGCTCAGATCTATGCAAAGAAAGAAACCATGCCAAATAAGGTAATTATGTAGGTAAATAGAAAATAATTTTTCTTGTTTTTAAATTAAAAAAAGTAATTGGCTCTTTAAAACTAAAATAATGACAATGTATTATGCAGTTTATAACATTTAGAGCAATAAAATGTATTCAAAAAGTAAGACAAAGGATGGAAGGAAATAATGGAAATAAACTATTGTAAGGGCCTTGCATTTTCCAAAAATGGTATAACATTATTTGAATGTGTACTGTAATAAATTAAAGACAAATTTTTTAAATGCTAGCATAGCCACTAAATAAAACAAAGTATATAACTAATAAACCATTGGTACAGATCAAATGAAATGGTATAAAACACTTGCTGAACCTAAAAGACAAAAAAGAATGATAAAAGGGATAAAAAATACATAAAATTACATTAAATATAAATGATCCAGACAAGGGGTTTGCAAACTATGACCCATCACCTGTTTTGTAAATAAAGCTTACTGGAACACAGCCATACTAATTCATTAATGTATTACCTATATCAGCTTTCACACTACACCAGAAGTGAATAGTTGAGAAACGCTGCATGTTCTATAAAGCTGAAAATATTTATTATCTGGTCTTTTACAGAAAACTGGTCACCACCATGCCCCCAATCAGGAGATTGCAACTAAAAAAGCAAAGATAGTTAGACACAGTAAAAAATCAAAATCAACCAGATGTGGTCTACAAGAAACATTTCTTCAAAGTTTTTCTTTTTTTTTTTTGAGAGAGAGAGAGAGCAAGCACATGAGCACGAGTGGAGGAGGGGCCAAGGGAGAGAAGGAGGGAGAGAATCCCTCTGCACTGACAGAGCCCAATACAGGGCTTGAACTCACTAACTGAGAGATCAGGACCTGAGCCAAAGTTGAATGCTTAACCTACTGGGACATTCAGGTGCCCCTACAAGAGACATTTTAAATTCAGAAACATCTACATATGAAAAGTGTATGGATGGAAAAAGACTTTCCATGCAAACACTAATTTGGGTGAAATTTGGGTGGCTATATTCCTATCAGACAAATAGACTTTGGGTCATAGATCATTATAAGGGATAAAGAGGAACATTTGTTAATAATAAAATGCTCAATATGTCAAAAAGATATAACAATCTGAAATGTCTTACACCTAATAACAAAGTTGCAAAATAAATGAAGCAATGTCTTCTGAATTAATGTGAGAAATAAGCAAATTCACATTTCTAGCTGGAGATTTCAACATGATTCTATAACTGCTTAAACAAGGCAGAAAATAAGTAAGAAGACAGAAAACTTCAACAAAACTATTAACTGACTTAATCTAATTGACATTTATGGAATGCTAAACCCAATAACACCAAAATATAAATTCTTCTCAAGTGCACATGGAACATTCACTACGATAGACCATATGCTGGGCCATAAAACAAATGTCAACAAAACAGTGAAAATCATACAAAGTATGTTCTCTTTCAATATGAGAATTAAACTAGAAACCAAAAAAAAAAAAAAAGATCTGGGGAATTCTCAAATATTTAGAATTTAAATAATATCTTCTAAGCCATGAGTCAGGATGTAAATAAAAAATTTTAAACTGAGTGATAATGAATATACAATATATCAAAATACATGGGATTTGGGAATGCAAACTGGTGTAGCCACTCTGGGAAACAGTATGGAGGTTCCTCAAAAAATTAAAAATAGAACCACCCTATGACCCAGCAATTGCACTACTAGGTATTTATCCAAGGAATACAGGTGTGCTGTTTCGAAGGGACACACGCACCCCAATGTTTATAGCAGCACTATCCACAATAGCCAAAGTATGGAAAGAGCCCAAATGTCCATCGATGGAAGAATGGATAAAGATGTGGTATATATGTATATACAATGGAGTATTTATTACTCGGCAATCAAAAAGAATGAAATCTTGACATTTGCAACTATGTGGATGGAACTAGAGGGTATTATGCTAAGTGAAATTAGTAATGAAAAATGGAGAAATAATAGAAAAAATTATTTAAATCAACAGCTTGTTCTTTGAAAAGATCAATAAAATTAACAAACCCCTCACTAACATGATCAAGAAAAAGAAACATTATGATAAAAAGCATATGATCATCTCAAGAGATAGAGAAAAAAACATTTGAAAAAAATTAGCATTCATTCATGATATCAATACTATTTATAATAACATGAGAAAGCATGAAATATTTAGTGGTAGATTTAAGAAAAAAATAGGTGCAAGACCTGTACATTGAAAAGTAAACACTGGTGAACAAACTGGTGAACAATTATAAAGCTTTAAATAAATATGCAGGTAAATCTTTTCATATATTGGAAAACAATATCTTTAAGATGTCAATTCTTCCCCAATTGATCTATACATTCTATGTAATCTCTTTTTGTAGAAACTGACAAATGGATTCTAAAATGCATGCATAAACTTTAAAGACCTAGATGAGCAAAAATCATTTTGAGAAAGAACAACAAATTTGAGAACATAATTCTTCTGATGTTCAAATTCTACTGGAAAGCTCCATTAATTAATACAATGTTGTTTTTATTTAAGAATAGACCCCTCACAGGGATGCCTGTGTGGCTCAGTCAGTTAAGTGTCTTACTCTTGGTTTGGGCTCAAGTTATGATCCCAGAGTTGTGGGATCAAGCCCTGTACTGAGCATGGAATATACATGGGATTCTCTCTATCTCCCTCTGCCCCTCCCCCTCTCATGTGCTCTCTAAATAAATAAATAAATAATTTATCAATTGATCTTTATTTTTTTTTCCTCCCCCCCCCTTCATCTTTAAAAGGTAATTCAGTAGGGGAAATGATGGTCTTTTCAACAAATGGTTCTTTTTTTTTTTTTTTTTAATTTTTTAATGTTTATTTATATTTGAGAAAGACAGAGACAGAGCAGAGTGGAGGAGGTGCAGAGAGAGAGGGAGACACAGAATCCGAAGCAGGCTCCAGGCTCTGAGCTGTCAGCACAGCACCCGACGTGGGGCTTGAACCGACGCACCGTGAGATCATGACCTGAGCTGAAGTCAGACACTTAACCGACTGAGCCACCCAGGCACCCTTCAACAAATGCTTCTATAGTAACTGAATATCCATATGAAAAAAACTGAACACTTACTTTATGTCTAATATAAGAACTCAAAATGGACCATATGTCTAAATGTCAGAGCTAAAACTATAATTTCTTGAAGAAACATTGAAGACAATATTTGCAACCTTAAGGGTAGCAAAATTTGTGAGGCAGGACACAAAAGCATAATCCATAACATATTAATAAATTAAATTTTGTGAAAATTAAAAGACCCATTAAGAACAGGAATAAACAAGCCACTGCCTAGGAAAAAGTATTCATAAAACATATATTTGAACAAAGACTTGTATCTAGAATATACAGAGGACTCTTATAACTTGATTAAAAGAAAAAAAAATTTAAAGTAGGTAAACTATTTGTTGAGACACTTCACAAAAAAGATATATATGTAAAATTTTAAAGGCTGACAATATCAAGTATTAACAAGAATGTAGAGCAACCAGAACTCTTCTATGTTACTTGGGAGAATATAAGTGATAACACCCACTTTGGGAAATAGTTTGGTAATTTTTTATAAAGTTAAATGTATACTTATCATATGACCAAGGCACTCACTCCTAGGTTTTTATCCAGAATAAATGAAAATACATGTCTATACAATGTTTATCTATAAATGTTCAAAGAAGCTTTATTCATAAGAGTCAAAGACTGGAAATGACCCAATTATCCAATAAGTAAGTTGATAAACAAATTATTATATGTCCACACAATGGAATATTATTTAGCAAAAAAAAAAAAAGAAGAAGAAGAAACTTCAGATATACTGAACTTATTACTCAAAAATATAGATGAATCTCAAAAACATTATCCTAGGCAAAAAGCATCTGATAGAACACAGACTTTATGATCCTATTCATGTGAAATTCTAGAATAAATAAAAATAAAATTCATATTAATATATGTATATTAATTAATAATCCATACTGATAATTCTATTATTACCTATATACTTATTTATATATCTATAATTTACATGTATATATTTATCAATACTCTTCAAAACATTTATAATAAATAATAAATGCATTTTATCATATATAAATAACTCAATATAATTTGATTCTTAAAAATCAAATAGCCAACTCAGTGAAGAGTAAGCTATAAACTACTAATTTTTTTGTTTAAATCTTATTTGTGGTCTTATAAAACTTGAAACTTCCTTCATTTTAGCAGGAAAGTGTTCTACCCAAGCAATATGTCTTTTCATAGCAGGATACTGTACTACTTTTCCTCAGTAACTTAAAAATTCTAGCAATATAGGCCACTTACCAATATAGTTCTTTGACATGGCAACTTCTCTGACTTCAATATGAACAGAGCCTCTTGGTATCTGCACTACTTCCATATAGCCTAGAACACAGAAGATAGGCACTAGTTAGCAGCAAGTGCAGCCTTGGTCAGAAAATGAGTGATGATTTAGTAATAAATTTCCCTGTTGTTCAAATCTTTCCTTGACTTTACACTTTATAAATTACAAAATATGGAAAAATTCCCCTCTGGGTTCATGAACACATCTAGAATATTTATGTTTTTTATCTAAAATATCTTGATCTTTAAAGCCCCAACATGTATAATATTGGTTCATGTGTTTGTTTGTTTTTTTTTCTCAACACATGTCCTTCCATTAATACTCTGTGGGAATTTCCATCTTAGAAAAACATGGCTAAATGAAGTCAAGTAGAAAGGGAATAATATTTCCTTAAAATATATTACATGAATCTATAATTGATACTTAAGAGATTGAAAACAATTTGGGGAAAAAACACTGTCTACCTAAACAAAAAGTTTAAAAAGAAGGGAGCGGGGAAGTCAAGTGTTTTGGCTATTCCCAGTACATCAGAGGTGTGAGGAAGTGTTCTCTCTACACACTCACCTCCTCTGGGCAACGAATCATTGAAGAACCCTTCAATGGCATCACATGTGCTTCCATCCCCTCCACAGACTCGACATCTATCTTCCCTAGCATCGGATCCCAAAATATTATCACAACCTACATGCTGAAAACAGAGAAGAATATTCAGTATGTCATAGGATTTCTTGGAACCAAAACTACCCAAATAAATATAACTTATTTGTTTTTCCAGTAAAGGAAATCAAAACAGGAAATATTTTCCTCTTTCCACTTTTTCCTTCACTCTCCAGTAAGTTCTTAGCTAACGTTTTGCAACATATACATTAAAAAAATTTTTTTGATTCCCCAGGAATGTATGTCTGTATTTGTAACCTAGATTTCTTCTTCATTTATAGATAGCATGCTCCAAATCTTAAACTATTTTGTAATTTGTTGGCAATGGGCTCTTATTTATACCTTCAATCAAATGCAAGAATTAAGAAAAAAGGCAAATTGTCTTACACAAGGCAATAACAGCAGGAATCTTTGCTGAGCATTATGGTTTGACCTTTCTAAACCACTTTAATCACAGAAATATGGATTTTTATATATTTTTGGTACATATTTTGATACTTTCATTTGTGTATATGACCTATAGCCATTGATAACAGGCATGTGATGTCTGAATAAAATCTGTTTTTGGCCTTTGTTTTCTGAAAAAAAAATATAATACTGTCAGAAATCACACACATATATAAGATCATCAGATATATCTGTAGGCAAGTAGCCAGAAGGATAGAAACTTTTGCAAGAAATTATGACACAAAGTAAAACAGATAAGGTGTTTATCTCTTCCTTCTCAGTTTCTAAGAGTTAGAGTCACGCTTCTCTTTAAAATAAAGACAAAGAAGAAAAAAGGTTTACAAGAACAGTGGTATTTGTGAATTTTCTTATTATGATTAGATTTATACACAGGTCTAGGAAAATAGCATAGATTTGCTCCAATAACTCGCAACCAGTCTGGGTAATTCTCTAAAGTAAATGCTTTAATAAGGTAAAGACTAACTCTATAATGAAAAACATCATGCTTCAAAATGCTTCAAAAAGAGGCAAAGTAGGAGGAAGATAGCTGCTTCACACTTAGAGAAAAAAATATGCTATGAAATGTATCAAACAGTCTTCAAATGAAAACATATGTCAGCCATATGAATAAGAGCTGCATCCTTGTTCCCTCTCTTCCTATCCTGTTTGCAGTCTGTTTATAAACAGAGCCAACTAATAGAAATTAAAGTCCAAAGTATATTCAGAACTTTAGCAATCATTATACATATAACTAGGACACCAAAATAAATCACATTTACATGACGTTTGAATATGAATAGGCTATTCTACCTTTAGCTCTATGTATTGCCAACCTAATTGGAAACTGATTTTCTCTAAAAGGTAGCTCTCTTTATTAAAACTGAGCATCATATGAATTAAGAGCGAATATCTTAAAAAGAAGACAAAAGTCTCAAAAGCCCCAACAAGAAGGAGTGAAATTCATAATTGGAGCAACCTTGCATTCCCCATTGATACAGATATCCAGTGAGTCCGCATTGCACTGAGTCCCATCAATCACGGCAGGGGCACGTTCAGTGTAGAAGTTGTAACCTTCAGCCAAGCAGTTTAATGCACAAGGTTTCACCCCACCTGGACAAATACAGCAGAAGAGAAATAAATGGAGTGGTTCTTTAAGAAACGGTAATTCCATATTAACCACAGTAAATTTATAATTTATACAGACATAATACCCTCACTATATACCCAGATGTGTAGGTTTCTTTCCTCCTTTGCTAAAATTTCACATTTATTTTCATTGCTTGTGCAAGTTGACAGAGGATCCATTGAGCAGTTTTAAAATTTAAAATGTTCAAGTATTTTCAATATATATTTAACAATATATTTTAGGTCAAAAGAGATCACAGTAAAGCTACCTAAATGTTGAAAAAATGTATGAAATAGAAAATTTTTTTTAAAAATAAGAAAATAGGGGTGCTAGGATGGCTCAGTTGGTTAAGCATCCATCTCTTGATTTTGGCCCAGGTCATAATCTCAAGTTTCATGAGACTGAGCTCCACTTCAGTTGCCGTGCTCACAGTGTGGAGACTGCTTAAGATTCTCCCTCTCCCTCTTTCTCTGCCCCTCCTCTGCTCTCTCTCAAAATAAATAAACATTAAAAGAAAAACTAAGAAGATAAAGTATGAGGAGGCTTAACACAATAACTTCAAGTAACAAATGGAAATTTCCACAACATATGTCCCTTGTTAACTGCAGCTGATACAAAACCTGCTACTTCAAGAAGGGGTATATATGGTAGTTGTAAAACAAAAACAAAAATACCTCTGAATTTGTACCTGCTTTAAACATATCATATTCAAAAAGCATGGCTTTAGCATAGAGATAAATTTTATGAGATAAGCAAATCAAAGGTAAAATTAATTTATAGTATTAGATTTGAATAATTCTTTTTTTTTCTAATAGTTTATTGTCAAATTAGTTTCCACATAACACTCAGTGCTCAAGATTTGAATAATTCTTATTACTAAATCAAAGATATTACAGGTAGCATTAAACATGAATAATTAAAATAAGATGCAATTTAATTTTTTAATAAATGCATATAATAATGTCATTATTTTCATGTTGTCACTGAATTTGTATTTTTAAGGTTGATGTGAAAAAAAGGAATAAATAATAGTAATTTAAAAAATAAGCAGAGTAATATCACAACCCTATAGTATATTGGAAAAGTAGCAATATATATGAATTTATTTTACTCAAACACTGCATGAGAAAGCTACATATAAATATGTATTTACTGATTAAATTTAAGATTTAAAAATTCTTTGTGTTGAATCTTCATTTAAAACACTTTGGCTTCATTCTAATCATGCTGATAAAATTTCTCTTTGAAATAAAGACTACGATTAGCCAAGAAAATAAGGCAGAAAGGAAAAATGACATACTTAGTCTCAGTGAAAGTAGAAACCAGGTTTTTCGCAGAGTGAAGGTATGTGAAATAAAAGAGACAACTGAGTGGTCATGACAATGGTAAATGAGAGAGAACATTTCATTAAAGGAGATCATTTTTAAGTTGATTGTTGTATAATGCAAGAAGATGGCCCAATATTGTTAGAAATTCTATTTTTTCATGAGAAACTGAAAACTTAGATTTTTAAAATAAAAAGTCTTCTTGGTAACTCATTCAAAGTTTTCAAAAAAATACTGTGGAGGTTAAAACATGTATGCAAGTAAAATTGGTTCCTAAACTGCCATTTTACAACCTCTGGCTTAACTCTATGTTTACTTCCATTTTTGATGTCTACAGGATATAGAACTTCTATATAATTACAATGTTATTACTAGACTTAGGGTGATGATATCTTTTGCTGTACTGAGCACAAAAATAACAAGTAATAAATAAAATAATTTCTTCCTGAACTGATAATCAAGGTGTTTACATTTATTTTTGTAAGATTCTTATGAATAAAATTACTCTAAATTTTCATGAATTTTACTGGGATTGTTTTCATTACTACCCAATATAGTTCTTTTCCCATTTTTTATTATAATGTTTTGGAATTTGATGTAGCTTTTTGTATATCAGGCTTGAAAAAGAGAACATGAGTTCTCTTAATTTTAACATTATTTAATTATGTAAGTTAGTATTCGATTTGCAGGGCATATAAATGCTAAATTTGTATTCTTTAGATCATTATACTACGTGATGATAATAAGAATGCGTTTCTTCCTTTTTTATTACTGAAGATGTGTTCAGCTTCCTTAGCTATAGTGAGTTTTCAGAGATGTACTGCTTTTATTTTAAGAAGGGATTTAAGATGATTCTCTAAATGGAAGGTCATATCATTACCTGTTACCTCCAATGAAAGCTTATTATGATTTTAGGGTTAATTCACTACGCTTACAATTATCTAGATGCTAATTATTAAATCTGTGAATTATTTCAGACACTTACTTCTTTCCCTCCTATAATAAGACAAAATAATCCCAACTGTATATGCATCTACTAAAAGCAATTTGAATTACATGAAGAAAAACTTCCAAAAAAGAAAGCAAAGTCATATATATAACAGTTGGAGATTTTTAACACACTTCTCTCAGTAATTGAAAGAGGAAGTCAGAATGAATTTAGAGATTTAAATAACAGTATCAGCCAACCTGATGTGATGGATATCTATGGAACAGTATATCCAACAATTGAAGAAAATACATCTTTTTCAAGTATAGATGAACATTACCAACATGAACAATAAGTTGTACTATAAAACAAATCTCAATCAGTTTTAAATATTTAAATCATACATTCTCTGATTATAGAATTAAATTATAAATAATCAAAAAATCTAGAAAATATCAAACATTTGGAAATAAAAATAACATACTTCTAAATAACCCATGAGTCAAAGAAGAAATCACAATGTAAATAAGAAAGATTTTGGACTAAAGGAAATTTTTTAAAAAATCAGGTTGTGAGGGGGAGTACCTGGGTGGCTCAGTTGGTTAAGCATCTGACTCTAGCTCAGGTCATGATCTCACAGCTTGTGAGTTCAAGCCCCACTGACAGCTCAGAGCCTGGAAACTGCTTCGGATTCTGTGCCTCCCCCTTTCTCTGCCCCTCCCCAACTCACGCTCTGTCTCTTGTCTTTCTCTCAAAAATAACTAAACATTTAAAAAAATGTTTTATAAATCAGGTTTTGGAAATGCAGAAAAAGCAAAATACAACACAAATTTAAAAGTAATAAATATAAGACCAAAAATTAATCAAATAAAAATAGTAATAGAGAAAAGTACTAAAGCCAAAAGTTGATTCTTTGAAAAGATTAAAAAAATTGATAAACCTCAAGCAAGACTGAATAAGCAAAAGAGAGAAAACACATATTATAATATCAGAAATGAAAGAGCATTTATCACTACTGAGTCTATAGATATTAAACAGGATAGTAAGAAAATGTTATGATCAATTTTCTGTCAAGAAATGGGATATGGAAGTAACAAATTTCTTCAAGACATTAGAATTTTTAAAAATCTAAATAGCCATTTATCTACTAAAGGAGTTGAATTTGTAGTAAATTCTTTTTGCACAAAGAAGATACCAAGCCTGAGTAGTTTTCCTAGTCAAATATATTCTAAGGAAGAAATAATGCCAATCCTACAAACTCTTGCAAAATAAAAAGGGATTCTGTTTCTGGAAACCAGAGAAATTCTAATACCCAAACTTGTCAAAGACATGACAGAAAAAAAAATGTACAAATCAATATTCCTTATAAACATAGATGCAAACATCTTCAATAAAATTTTAGAAATTAAATATGATGATATATGAAAAGATAATAAATCATTACCACATGGGGTTTATCCTGGGACAAAAAGCTTGTCTGACATAAAATCAATCAAATAATTCACCATATTAACAGAATAAAGAAAAACACATATAATCATCCATGTACCAATTATACTAAAGGGCCAATCCAGTGAATTAAGCCAAGAACATGAATTAAAGGTATAAAGATTTTTATAGACAGTCACTACTTCCAGAAAACATGACAACTTATCAAGAAAACCCTAAACAATCTATAAGACAACTATTAGAACTAATAAAGGAATTTAGAAAGGTCACAGAATACAAAGTTAATATATAAAACTCTTTAATTTTATATACTAGAAAAAGTAATGAAAATGATATGTTTTAAACTTTTATTTTACTTTTTTAATGTTTATTTACTTTTGAGAAAGGGAGAGACAGAGCGTGAGTGGGGGAGGGTCAGAGAGAGAGGGAAACACAGAATCTGAAGTGGCTCTAGACTCTGAGCAATCAGTACATACTCTTATGCAGGGCTCGAACTCATGAACTGTGAGATCATGACCTGAGCCAAAGTCAGATGCCCAAACGACTGAGCCACTCAGGCTCCCCTAAACTTTTATTTACAATAGTTTCAAAAAACATAAATTACTCAGGAAAAGGTTTAACAAAAGAAATGCAAGACCTAACACTTAAAATTATAAAACATAGCTAAGAGAAATAAAAGAAAACATGAAAATAAATATATATATGTATATATATATATATATATATATATATATATACCATGTTCGAAATTCACTATTGAATTCAATACTCAATATGTTTAAATAATATTGTTAATTTCTCAGCTCTCCCTCAATTGATCTGTAAATTCAACATGATATAGCAATCATTAGCCCAGCATGTTTGTCTGTAAAAATTAGTAATAATGCTAAAATTTATATAGAAATGCAAAGCATTCAGAATATCCAAAGAACTCTTGAAAAGAAGCTCAAAGTTGGAGGAACTTATACTACCTGTGTTCAAGACTATGCAGTTATAATAAGTCAGTGTGGTACTAGCATAGTTTGCTGCCATTTCATTTCTTTGTGCTTTGTGCACATTTCATTGTGCATTTCTATTGTTGACAAATTGGTAAGTGAAACAAAATAGAGTCCATACTACAAATACACACAATATTCCCAAATTATTTTTAGACTGTAGATCTAAATGTAAAGACCAAAACCACATGGCTTTTAGAAGAAGACATAAGAAAATATCTTCCTGAGTTGGGAAAGGCAAAGATTTTGAACACAATAACAATAAAAAGAAACAAAATTGAAAAATGCATTCATCAAAATTTGAATCTTATACTTATCCAAACCACCATTAAAAAAAATATTTAAAAGATAATAGGAAAGGGGCACCTGGATGGTTCAATCAGGTACACAAATGTTCACAGCAGCTTATTCAGAACAGCTGAAAACTAGAAACAACTCAGGTGGTCATCAATAGCAGAAAGGGCAAACAAACTGGTTATTACAATGGAATGTTGCTCAGCGATAAAAAGGAAAAAACTATTCATACATGCAATAACGTGGATGGATCTCAAAAACATTAGGCTTAAAGAAAGCTTGCCCAGAAGAGTAAATATGACACGATTTTACTTATATGAAGTTCTGGAACCGGCAAAACTAATCTATGGTAAGAAAAATATATCAGAACATTGGTTTGCCTCTTGGAAGAAATAAGTAGAGGCAGCTATTAACTGGGAAGGACTATGAGGACTATGAGAATTTTGGAGAAGGTAATATACTCTATGTTAACAGAGCTTTATTACAGGTGCATACAATTGTTAAAACTCAGGGAAAGTACAGGTAAGATCTGTGCATTTCAGGGGTGCCTGGTGGATCAGTTGGCTAAATATTTGACTTTAGCTCAAGTCATGATTTCATGGTTTATAAGCCTGGGCCCCGTGTTGGGCTCTATGCTGATGGCTCAGAGTCTGGAGCCTACTTCGGATTCTGTGTCTCCCTCTCTCTCTGCCCCTCCCCTGCTCATGCTATCTGTCCTCTCTCTCCTTCAAAAATATACAAACATTTAAAAAAAAAAAAAAAAAGAGAGATTTGTGCATTTCATTGTACATAATCTTCTCTCAAAAAAAGGGGGTAAATATTGAACTGTGGTTAATTTTATATGTGTTGAAGTACTTAGAGGAAAGTATATTAATGACTACAACTTACTTTGAAATGAATCTAAAAAATAAAAAAGATTAATGGATAGAAAGATGACCAGACATGTAATAAGGGAAGTATATTAAAATGTGAATGGTAGACTCCTGGTGGTGGGTATACAGATGTCACTGTAAAATTCTCTTAATATTGCTTCATTGGAAAATTTTCAAAGTAAGATGTTAGAGTAAAAAAACAAACAATAAAAGGTTTTTAAAAGTACAGTTTTTCCAAGAGAAAATTTTAAGAAAATCTAATTTATATTTTGAGAGTACAAGAAAACTTCTGTTTGCTAAACATACAAATTATGTTTCATACATGCCAAATTAAAGGGTAAAAATATTTCCCAACATTAAAAAAGTATAATAATAATAATACAGGGGAAGATCCTTGGCCTTTCACCAAGAAAGAAAATACAGATTTTCCTGGTCACTTTTGAGTTGATTTATATTGTTATAATTTGTTTTTAGGGTGATAATTCTAAATGTGCAATGATTATAAATGATTATAATGCAATGTTCATATATCCCAAGGAAGTCTCAAGAGCTCAAAAACATTATTTGGATTTATATCTTTTCCAGGACTTTTGTAGCTTGTTAAATAGAATTAGGTTTTTAAAAATGATTTCTGATCATTTTAAGAAACATATAAAAATGATTTCTGATCATTACAGGGAAACTTTATAGCACTATAAGCATTTTCCTGCTTTGATTTGTAAACACTAATTTTTACTAGTATGTATATGAATGTATGCATGTGTTTGTATGTATTTATATATTCTTTCATAGTTGCAAAGCTCTCAAGCATTGATGAATGCTCTGCCAGTTTATACGTTACCTCCAGTATAGGGTTTCCAGTTATAATACTTTCCACGGAAAGGCATATTGTCAAAGTCTGCACACTGTTTCTCTCGAAAATCTCGGGCCCCCAAAGGACATGGCTAAAATAAAATAAAATCATAAATGGTACGACTGTTGAAAAATACCAAAACTAAGGGACAATGTCCCTACAATTAGAATTGCCTGACTTGTCACATTAACTCACTGCCTGATGCTATGGCTATAATTCTGGTTTTGCTTTACTGTTTTACAACCAATATTCAGACTGAAGTGTCTGAATTGTAACTTAGCCACAGAAGAAATAACTGAAGTAATTTAAACAAAATTAAATGTTAAGACAGTTTCCATATAGCTTTCCACTCAGATACATTCATAGTCTAGTTTTCCAATCAATCCATTAGGTAGCTCCTTATAAACACATAAAAACTATGTGAAGAAACTAAAACACAAAATCTCTTTTGGTAACATTATTTGAGGTCCATTTCCCACAGCTACTCCCAGCTCTTTATTTTAAGGAATTAAGAGGCAGGTTTGTAAGACAACATTCAGCACTATTAATTGTGGTTTGGATCCCCACTACTATAGCTGTTTACTGTCTAGCCTTGACAAAAACCATATTTTAAGATGTGGAATGAACTGGGCAAATGCTATGCCTCAAGTCTAAACACCTTCAAATTCAAGGAATTTGGACTTATTAAGATTTACATTTAATCTCTGAACATCACAGAAAATAAAATACTAAATTGATTCAAAACATATGCATATGTTGGGTAGGGAGAGAGAAGGATGTTGAGAGGGTAAAGAGACGGTTACTTGTTTTTAAACGTTTGGAATGCTTTTACCTGAATTTTTGAAAAGGAAAACCTTGCCAATGTAGTTAGGTCTAGATTCCAAATACCACAGGCCATCCTAAATTCAATCTCTAAGTTCACAAAGAATTAAAAGTACAACATCTCACAGTGTTTGAGCAATCTGACCTAACTTGACTTATCTTTTAGAGTTCTGCAGTTTGTGGTACCTAAAAAAAAACTGTTGCTGCTTTTGAAACATGGAGAAAATAACCCACTCACATATGGAAAAACAAAACAGGTCAGTAGATAAAACTCTTAATTGTGAATACATGATGAGTAGATTAAACTCTCAGATATCATTCTGAGGACTCTTTACTACCCTCCCTTGGATCTCTACCTTTACATTATACAGTTTTCTGAGGTCTATATATTGTAAATGGTCCCTTGAAGAATGTATAAAAATAATAGATCAGGACTCCTGGGTGGCTCAGTCAGTTAAGCATCTGACTCTTCATTTTGTTTCAAGTCATAATCACACGGTTCATGGGATCAAAGCCCACCTCAGGCTCTCTGTGAGCCTGCTTCGGATTCTCTCCCTCTACCCCTCCTGTGCTTATGTGTTCTCTCTCTCTTTCTCTCAAAATAAATCTAAAATAATTAACATTTGAAATAAATAAAATATGACACTGCAATATCAAACCTAAAGATTCTGCTTATCAATTACCCTTCTTACTTGCCTCTCAAAAATGACAAATAACTATTTACTATAGGTTACCTAGTGCATCATCCTGGAAAGATTCACTTCCAGGGTGTTTTGTTTCACGGTGTGCTTATCTTTGGATCAAAGAAAATCCATTCTAGCCATTTTCAGGGAATCTCACACAAGGACTAAAGCTGTCAGTGGCTTTGCCATGCAGCAAAGACTCATTTTTAAGCAAACGTCATCAATATATTTTTTTAAATACAAGTACTTTGAACTCCAACTACAAGTCTTCATATAATACTTAAGTATTTGTAAAGCACCCGCCACCTAAACATTCATCCAAGCATGGCTTTTAATCTAGTTGGGAAAGAAACACAGATACAAATACTACCCAGGGCATCTGGGTGTCTTAGTTAGTTAAGCAACCAGCTCAATTTTGGCTCATGTTCTGATCTCATGATTTGTGAGTTGAGCCCCATGTCGGGCTCTATGCTGACAGAACAGAGTCGGCCAGGCATTCTCTCTCTCCCTCTCGCTCTGCCCCTGCCTGCTTGCTTGCTGGCACTCTTTCTCTCTCTTAAAATAAATAAATTAATTTTTTAAAAATTCTACGCTGGGGCATCTGGGTGGCTCAGTTGGTTAAGCTTCGACTTCGGCTCAAGTCACGATCTCACGGTTAGTGGATTCGAGCCCTGCTTCGGGCTCTGTGCTGACAGCTAGCTCAGAGTAGAGCCTGCTTCAGATTCTGTGTCTCCCTCTTTCTCTGACCCTCCCGTGCCCATGCTGTCTGTCTGTCTGTCTGTCTCTCTCTCAGAAATAAATAAAACATTTTAAAAAATTAAAAAAAAATTCTACGAAATACATAGTACTGTCCCAGGCAGTGAGTATACAACAGCATGGTACAGGTGGCCTATAGGTGCTGTATAAAAGTAAAAGATCCATGTGTCATGTGCTTAATTATGGAAATATTTGTGGAGGAGGAAAATCTCAAGTATATTATAATAAAAGTATTACAAATAATTATCTTTTGTTAAAAATGTTATATACTTTATTTTTTATTAATTTAGAGAGAGAGAGAGTGCACACGAGTGAGTGAGAAGGGCAGACGGAGAGGCTCAGTGTGAAGCCTAATGCAGGGCTCAATCCAATGACCCTGGGATCATGACCTGAGCCAACATCAAGAGTCAGAGACTCAGTTGACTGAGCCACCCAGGCACCCCAATAATTATCCTTCATAATATTATAAAGTATTATAGGAATTGAGCTGGCTGAGAAAGAAAAAAATTCCAGATGTGGAAAACTAGAATGAAACCAAGTAGAGACATGGGTACAGGAAGGAGAAGGTCATATGTTAGGAATAGCTTGAGAAAGGCCATCCTAGGTGAAAGAAACTTATGGAATCATAAGAGGTGATGACATTTCATAGAAAATCACTGGTACATGAAAAAGTTCTCAATTAACAAACTAAGGCATCATGAGGGCCATTCACATATAAACAAACAAAACAAAAAATCCCATTCTTGACTATCTTGTAAGGAATCTCCTAAATACAGGCAGAGTAAAAAGCCCAACAGAAGGGTATTACTGTTTAGAAAGCACTTGGAAAATATTTTATAAACTTTCTCATTTATACTCTTTTCCTGTGATAACCACTCCTAGGATCAGGATAGTAAAACTATTAACAGTGACAACAGCTCTTTAGCATTTACTAAGCATGTAGCAGGTGTCCATTCTGTGGCACATTATTCAGAAGTCTCTAGATGTATTATCTATTCAAGCTATCTCAACACTCTTAAGTAGTTATAATAAATAATCCCTTTTACTGAGTACACTGGGTATAAAAAGGCTGCTTAGTAATAGTTTCAAGGTGTAAGGATACTCTTTCAACTGACTGGGAGCCTTCTCTGAAGTCTCAATGCTACAGTAACAGCATAAGGTTTTAGCTCTGTGTAGATGTACAAAAACTTAATGGGAGTAACTTGGGTTCCCATTATTTCAGCTGCAAGTTTCTTTTCTTCCCCAAACTTCTTCTTCATTTATAAAATAAGAGAGCTAAAAGCAAACTTTTGGAGTATGATTAACCTGGACTGAATTCTAACTTGCTCTATTTAGCAATGTACCTGCAATGTACTTAATTTTGCAAGCCTCATCTATAAACTGGGGATAATACTAGTATTTACCTCCTAGATAAGGATTCATGCAAACTGTTTAGCTCTGTACCCGGCATATGGTAGCACTGAATAACTATGAGCAGCTGTTCCAATTTTGGCTCTGGGTGTTCTTAGATTCATTCCTCACCTTCTTCTACACTGTTCTATATTTCAGGGGAAGAAACTCTGGAAACTCCATTTCTCAGGCTTCTGTGTCTGCTGATTTCTGACAATGGTTCAGACAATGGAAGGCAGTACTGGGAGAAGCCAGAGTATGTCTTTCTCTCTCTCCACATCAGGCAGCATTGTAGGCAGAAGCAGAATCTTTTTGTGACTCCAACTTCAGGTAACAGCACCACACTTTCCCCATCCCTCCCTGGCCCCATTCATTGGTTCCAGGTTCTGTTGTGTAATTCCAGCTTCTAGACTCTGGTAAAACTACTTCCTTCCTTGGTGTCTCTGGGAGGACTAGTGACATCTTCCTGCCTCTTCCATCATCTGTGTAACCAATTCTTTTCATTAAATTCCCTCTATTTAAATATTCAGAGTGGCTTATGTTATTATGGTGGGACCTTTATTGATATAACAATCAAATATGGTAACAATGATGGTGATGTTGACGAGGTGTTTGGGAGACTGAATAGAGATGGTTTCTCTGTATTATTTTTTGCAATATGTTGGTTAAGGGCAGAGGTTAGCCTACTTTTTTGTAAAGGGCCACATAGTAAATATTTTAGACTTTGTGCCATTTGGTCTCTGTGGCAACTACTCAACTGTGCCATTACAGTGTGAAAAAAGCCATAGACAATATGTAAATGAACAGTCAGGACTGTGTTCCAATAAAATTTTATTTACAAAAAGTAGTGACAGATCAACTTTGGCCCAGAAGGTGTGATTTGTCAACTTCTTGATTTAGGTGTTACCATAATAGATACATATGTCCAATAGTAGCAGTTTGAAGAATAATTAAACGCAGTGATTATTTTTGAGTCGATACAGAATCACATACTTCTGAGAAATGTTAGAATATAAACTATTTTGGTTAACATGCTTAAATCTCTTCTACGATTATCCCCAAAGTAGTCATGTAATCTTTATAAGCATCTAACAGAAAAATCAAAAACTTTTCAGGAGGTGCAATTACTATCAGGTTCTTTCTTACTTTTAGCCCAAATCTGTCTTCCTATAACCTAGGGGTCTTGCTCCTTTCTTCTGGATCTGCACTGAACAATCTTACCCTTAACTGAAAGGAATCTAGATCTTGATGGCTTTCCTATGGGCACATCATAACCTTCTCATTAATCCTCATAAAACCAGCACGAAGAACTGGCCTTAAATGTCTTTCTTCTATTCAGCAAATATATTTATTTGTTTATTATGTGTCACATATGATGTAGGCTCTAGAGATAAAGCAACAGACAAGATGGATTAGGTCCACGCTTTCAAGGAGCTCACTC